AAAAAGGAAAGCAGGGATAACCCTACTCCACATGTAAAATGCTTGCAATGCCTGGATGTGTCAGACAAGGTACAGAAGCTGGGGGGATGCAGAGCACATCTGGTCAGACAGAGCTTGCTCTGTACTGCAGAACATGACTTGGGGTCAAGTCTGAGTTGGAAAGAACCAGCACACGGTGATTGGACCTGTTTGCTTCTGGGCATTTGTTGTGGAACAGGAGAGTGAAGCAGAAGTGTTTGAAGAGAAAAGCTGGTACAGACAGACACTGATAGATCGATTTATTATCTAAGACTCCTTTTCATTTTAAGAATTCAGGTTGGTGTGTCTCAATTTGTGTTTACATTTTACTGAAAAAATAACTTTTTTTTTTTTAAGATCAAATATTTAGGGAATTGAAATGACAAAATTGCTGTGGATCTTTGGGTCACTGTACTTGCATTGCGTCAGTATTTCTTGTGAGTGAATTATCTGTATTTTTCATACTAGAGCACCCAAAGTGGAATGCTGGATTCTCACTTGTGTAGTTTATTGCTACAGAGTTGGTGCTCATTCATTTCCAATGGCAGGTGGAACTCGGGTAAGAGGATTTTCAGGCTAAGAGATATTATATGCAGGAACTACAAGAATTAACATCACTAACAACAAACAAAACCCCAAATCATTCGATAGTATCTCAGCAAGAACTCATGTGTCTGCTTTAATAGAATACTACTCACTACAAATAGCTCTTGGAATGACAAAATCTTTGGGGTTTGGTGTATATATATATATATGTATATATATATATGTATTTTTTACAGAAAATCAGCAATGAACAAAATGTCATCAAGCTCCAGTCCCTATGGCTAACATTATAAAGTAGGAGGAAAATCAGCTTTTACAATACAAAATAAGGAAAACATTCCACCTCAGTTGCCAACAGTGACTAGTAATTCTTTCTGTCCTGTCTACATGGCACAGCTGCCATGTCACCTGCAGTCTTCAAGGTACCCCAGCAAGGCAAAGCAGTAATAAAGAATTGAAAAGCTTTTTGGTAATTTGAGTATCTTACCGAGATCCTAAAAATACAAGTATTTTTCTGCATTTCCAGTTTAATTACAACAGTATGATGATTCACTCAGTACTATTAGTTTATCTGGTTTGACCGGGCTTGTAAATCACCTTGAAATTAAATCCTTTTATTCATGTATCCTAAGGGACTGAGAGTGAAAATCTGAGCTTTAGGTCCTATGCTTCATAATTTTGGACATTTTACAATAAAGCTATGGACTAGTTTCTAATTGAAAAGGATGTGGACGTCGTTCTGTCACACACCAAAAGTAATACTGGACTGAAGAATTCTTTGGTGTTTTGTTTGTTTTGTAAGGGTTGGTTTTTTTTAATAATCTTTAAATATCCTTACAGCTACACTAATACATATTTCTCAGTAACACTGTTATTGCCAGATATTGCTACAGGACATAACTAAAAATTAGGCAGAGTGGAAAATTCTCTCTTTCTAAAAATGATACTTCACTTAGTTACAGTTACAGTTGCGCACCAATTCTCTACTTTTCTGTGCATTTCTATTTCAACAGGTCAGAAGTCAGTTAAACAACTTTTGCCACCCCTTTACAAACACACGCCCCTTTTACATTTTATGGCTGCTTTACTGGTTGCACACACATTTCTGTGTCCTGGAATGCAAGATCAAACCCACCGAAATACACTCAATTAGCTTATAAAAAGGGGAAAGCAAGTGTGTCAACAAGAAAAATCCCTATTTTATCTACAGATTAAAACCAAAACCTTTATGGGAAGCTGTACAGAAAATCTGAGCCAAAAATGAAGAAAACCACCCCCAATGCAAAACTACCAAGAAGGGTGTTTGAGTAGGCATGTCAGTTCTGCATGTAATTTCTCAGACATTATTTTCACCTTGCTGCAGGGGCAAAGGCAATTAACAGAAGGCACCAAAGCACTTTTTAAACAACCTTTTTACAGCTTTTTAAACCAAAGCTCTGAGTCAGTGGTAGCACTTGGCACCTGCATTATGGTCTACACAGGTCAGACTGTAGGATGAGGAGCACCTTTTGGGATATACAAAACTCAGAAGCTCATAAACCAAACAGTGATCAAAAGTGTATGTTTGGGAACCTCAGTCAGTGCCTTGGTCTGATCCAAGATTCTTCTAGAGTTAGCAACTAATTTGCACCATGTCAAGTACTGAAATTAGTTATAAACTTCAGCCTTGTTGTCATTTCTGCCTTTGTACTATTTGTTGCTACAGGAATTAATTTATAACATAGGAAAAAGAAAATAGAAGTAGTAAATGAAAACAATTTGTTTAACAAGCAGGAATAAGCAACATGGACCACGGAGTGCTCCTCATTTTGAAGAACAACTGCACAACTTCCCTCTATTCGTGCATCTACCAAATCATCAAGCTTTTTGCACTCATGCTTTTTTAGAGAAATTCAGGGTGAATGAAAAGTGTACTTCAGAAACCAAAGTGCTTTTAAAGAAAGTGTGTTTCACTAATTTTTAAAATAACACTAAGCATTTTGTCTCTGCCTCAAGTTATCTACTGAATGTAGAATTCTGTAGACAGGCAAGTGTGCAGAGAAGATATGCAAAAATGTAAATGTTTGATAACAGAAATATGACAAGATTTCAACAAGATAAAGAAGAAACATTTTTTTCATGCCCTTACAAATTGTTCAAACAGATAATTAGATTAATTTTTGCCAGAATCAGTAAATATTTTCTACATATTACATTACAGGTTAAAATATATCTGCATATAATGTAGAGTGGCTCTGAGATAATGAACTTTGGTTTAACTTGCTTGCTATCCTTGATGGTTCAACTTACTTCAACTTTTTTAACATTTATGACTTTGAAGATATTATATACTCTGTGGCATTAGGCAAATTCATTTTGATTGCAAGATTTAAATACCCAAAGTTTCTTTGAAGAAAAACTTGGAAAAAAAATAAAATTAGATTGGAAATACAAAACTCACATTTCATGACTGCAAGAAAAATACCTTTAGAAATAGATATCAACCTGTTCTCTCATATTTTAGAATTAAGATTGATTTTCCCTGTAGAAGTATGTCCGTGTTGAAAATTAAAAATGCATGGAAGAACTGATTATGATATATTTTATATATCCTCCTCTTCTCTTACCCAGAAGTAACTGGTATAGATTTAACAAACTAAAAGCAGAGAGGTAAATAAATAATTGAACATTTACTACATCCTAGGGGAAGGAATGTATTCCCAACAACTTTTTCAGACCCTGTAGAACTCAGTTTATTACAAAAAAGGCTCCATTTTTTGTCCAGCCTATTTGAGTGAAAATTATGGCACAGTCTACTGTCAGTGGAGGACTGAATCACTCTCTGCAGATATGGAAAAATAAGTTGGTTAAAAAAATAATAAATTTTTGTATTTCATTATTATTTTCTTTTCACAGTAGACTCCTCAATCTGGCAGACAAGGAAAACTTTATAGTGGTAACACATTACTTTTCCTGAAATATGCTATTAATATAGAATTCAAACAATACTCTTCATGACATAAGTTCCCAGATAAGAAACTCTGCAGATTCCTACAGTTAGCTGAATATGAGCAACACACTGTCTGATCAGTACCAATACCCCAGCTTGGGAGAGAAAGGGACCAAAGGCATCTCAGATGACTGTGACAGACAAACCACACACAACCACCACTTCCTGGCCCCTCTGAAAGCTGAACTTGCTTCTGCTGAAACTGACAGCAGAACTCCTTTGAGCATCAGCATAAGGTGAATAGAACCTTTGGTGAAGAATTACAAATAGTACCACTTGCATATTCAAAAACATTGTGGTGTGTGGCACAGCACTGTCTGTAAAGCCCGTTGTATTCCCTGTTCTTGGAAGCAAAGGCAATGCCTGGAATGTGCTGAATCTGCAGGTGCCAGGACTGTGGGAAGCAGATGCTTCCTTTAACCATCTACCATTTGCTGTTTCATACCAAGTAATTTAAAGGCAAGCTTTTCAGTAGTCTGAGCAGGCCTCTTCTGCTGTATATAAGTGCATTCTGTTTAAGTGCTGGACCAGTATTAACTCCAGTTAAGATGAGAGTTTTAATTCCCCGATCCCTACCCCCCCACACCCCAGGCTCCAGTGACATCTCAAATTTGGCTTAGGACCGTGTGCTTTCACAAGTACGAACACTTTCCACTTCACTGAATTAACTTTCAGGTAACAGGGAAAGCTTTATATCAGTTCATACAGTCAAAGCCTAAGCCAGAAAGAGGTCTCTAAGTGAACAATAACTATTAGTAATAAGCAAATTATCTGCTCAGTTCTGGGTAATAATGGATTTTACATTATAATGACAGTGCTCTAAATCTAATGCACTTTTACTTTGTTCAAGCCAGCTTTCACTATCAAATCCTTTTTTCGTGCTTTGGTCTGTGTTGTAGCTTTAACAGCCGATGTGTAAAGTTAGTGGTACACGAAGAGCACAACGTGGTGTTATTTCAGCCCAGGGAGCAGGATCCTCCCCAAAAGCCAATGACTGCACGGAGCAAGCCTGCCAAGCACCCGTCTCTCCTCCCTCTTATATACCAAACACCTTTTAAACAGCTTTTTGTCTGAGGCAATTGTCAGATATCTCACAACATTGTTCCCCACAAACCTGTTACCCATACTCGACACTCTGCAGCCCTGGCCAGGTTTCTGGCTGCAGAGCAGACATTGGGTGCACTTGGAATACTGCTGACCCCCATCTGTTCCAGGCAGCAGCAGCACGGCAATATCCCTGCTCCTCGGCAGCGGTAGCAGAGAAGTCGTCTATTGTGGTTTAATTAGCAGGAACCCCAGCCTGGGGGAAACGTGAGATTTCACTTTGCTACCTACAAAATCTGCCTGAGGTGGGAAGGAAGGACACCAAGCCCCCAGAGTCACCCAGCACTGCAGCACAGGGAGAGCCACCCCCCCGCCGCCCCAGCACGGCACCAAGTCAACTCACAGGATCTCCAGGTCGCGCAGGGCTCGGAAGGCTCCATCTTCGATGCAGCTGATCTGGTTGTTGTCCAGTTGCCTGCAGAAAGGAAGGGAGAGGATGAAGGCTGGCTGGTACAGGCAGAGCTGCCTCGGAGTGCCAGGTTGGGGGCTTTCCCCTCACCGAGGGGTCC